ATATAAAAAGCCAGTCAGCTGCGAACCAGCTGAGCAGCAAACAGAAGAGTTTGCCTGGGAGTTCGCCTTGGGAGAGCCCACTGAGGCTTACATCTTGACGGATTCTCTGAGTAATTACTCCAACTCCTGAGGAAGCTCGTAGAAGGAAGGTAATATGGATGGGGGGTGTTCAGCTGTTGTGACCTGCACTGGATGTGCTATGTTTGTCTTTCTTCCGCAGGACAGAAACAACTTTGTCTGTACAAAGTGCAAGCTGGTCTCCATATTGGAAGAGAAGGTTCAAGGTCTGGAGCAACAGGTATCGATCCTGCGTTGCATAAGAGAAACTGAAGATTTCCTGGACAGACGTCAGGATATGCTTCTACAGGCACAAGGTTCTGAAGATTCAGAGCAGGCTGCACATCGGGGACAGGAGGATAGTGAAGAAATTTGGCATCATGTGACCTCCAGAAGAAAAAAGGGGAGCGTCCATGTACCAGCAACACAGACACAGGTAAATAACCGTTTTCATGTTCTCTCCACAGGTACTAATGCGGAGAGTGGACCAGATGATACGTCTGAGGGAAGGGAGCAGAAGGAGACTCCGCAGATTGGAAGGCATGAGATGCACTGTCCTAGGGTTGGGGGTTCCAGGACCCCCGCTCCCAAGAGAAGGAGGCGGGTGGTGGTGGTCGAGGACCCACTCCTCAGGGGGACTGAGTCATCTATCTGCTGCCCCAACCGGGAAAAGCGAGAAGTCTGCTGCTTGCCAGGAGTTAGGATTCACGATGTGACAGAGAGACTGCCGAGACTCATCAAGCCCTCGGATCGCTACCCCTTCCTGCTTCGTCACGTGGGCACCAATGACACTGCCAAGAATGACCTTGAGAGGATCACTGCAGACTACGTGGCTCTGGGAAGAAGGATAAAGGAGTCTGAGGTGCAAGTGGTCTTCTCGTCCATCCTCCTCATGGAAGGAAAAGGCTTGGGTAGAGACCGTCGAATCGTGGAAATCAACGAATGGCTACGCAGGTGGTGTCGGAGAGAAGGCTTTGGATTCTTTGACCATGGGATAGTGTTCCAAGAAGGAGGAGTACTAGGCAAAGACGGGCTCCACCTAACGAAGAGAGGGAAGAGCATCTTCGCAAGCAGGCTGGCTAACCTAGTGAGGAGGGCTTTAAACTAGGTTCACCAGGGGAAGGAGACCAAAGCCCTGAGGTAAGTGGGGAAGTGGGATACCGGGAGGAAGCACGAGCAGGAGCGCATGAGAGGGGAGGGCTCCTGCCTCATACTGAGAAAGAGGGGTGATCAGCGGGTTATCTCAAGTGCCTATACACAAATACAAGAAGCCTGGGAAACAAGCAGGGAGAACTGGAAGTCTTGGCAAAGTCAAGGAATTATGATGTGATTGGAATAACAGAGACTTGGGGGATAACTCACATGACTGGAGTACTGTCATGGATGGATATAAGCTGTTCAGGAAGGACAGGCAGGGCAGAAAAGGTGGGGGAGTTGCATTGTATGTAAGAGAGCAGTATGACTGCTCAGAGCTCAAGTATGAAACTGCAGAAAAACCTGAGAGTCTCTGGATTAAGTTTACAAGTGTGAGCAACAAGCGTGATGTCGTGGTGGGAGTCTACTATAGACCACCGGACCAGGGGGATGAGGTGGACAAGGCTTTCTTCTGGCAACTCACGGAATTTACTAGATCGCACGCCCTGGTTCTCATGGGAGACTTCAATCACCCTGATATCTGCTGGGAGAGCAATACAGCGGTGCACAGACAATCCAGGAAGTTTTTGGAAAATGTAGGGGACAATTTCCTGGTGCAAGTGCTGAAGGAACCAAGTAGGGGTAGAGCTCTTCTTGACCTCCTGCTCACAAACAGGAAAGAATTAGTAGGGGAAGCAAAAGTGGATGGGAACCTGGGAGGCAGTGACCGTGAGATGGTCGAGTTCAGGATCCTGACACAAGGAAGAAAGGAGAGCAGCAGAATACGGACCCTGGACTTCAGAAAAGCAGACTTTGACTCCCTCAGGAAACTGATGGGCAAGATTCCCTGGGAGCATAACATGAGGGGGAAAGGAGTCCAGGAGAGCTGGCTGTATTTTAAAGAATCCTTATTGAGGTTACAGGAACAAACCATCCCGATGTGTAGAAAAAATAGTAAATATGGCAGGCGACCAGCTTGGCTTAACAGTGAAGTCCCTGCTGATCTTAAGCACAAAAAAGAAGTTTACAAGAAGTGGAAGATTGGACAAATGACCAGGGAGGAGTATAAAAATATTGCTCAGGCATGCAGGAGTGAAATCAGGAAGACCAAATCACACTTGGAGTTCCAGCTAGCAAGAGATGTTAAGAGTAACAAGAAGGGTTTCTTCAGGTATGTTAGCAACAAGAAGAAAGTCAAGGAACGTGTGGGCCCCTTACTGAATGAGGGAGGCAACCTACTGACAGAGGATGTGGAAAAAGCTAATGTACTCAATGCTTTTTTTGCCTCTATCTTCACGAACAAGGTCAGCTCCCAGACGTACTGCACTGGGCAGCACAGCATGGGGAGGAGGTGACCAGCCCTCTGTGGAGAAAGAAGTGGTTCAGGACTATTTAGAAAAGCTGGATGTGCAGAAGTCCATGGGGCCGGATGCATTGCATCCGAGAGTGCTAAAGGAGTTGGCGGATGTGATTGCAGAGCCATTGGCCATTATCTTTGAAAACTCATGGCGAACGGGGGAAGTCCTGGACGACTGGAAAAAGGCTAATGTACTGCCCATCTTTAAAAAAGGGAGGAAGGAGGATCCTGGGAACTACAGGCCAGTCAGCGTCACCTCAGTCCCTGGAAAAATCATGGAGCAGCTCCTCAAGGAATCAATTCTGAAGCACTCTGAGCCCTGGTCTACACTAGGACTTTAGGTGGAATTTAGCAGCGTTAAATTGATGTAAACTTGCACCCGTCCACACGATGAAGCCCTTTATTTCGACTTAAAGGGCTCTTAAAATCGATTTCCTTACTCCACCCCTGACAAGTGGATTAGCACTTAAATCGGCCTTGCCGGCTCGAATTTGGGGTACTGTGGACGCAATTCGACGGTATTGGCCTCTGGGAGCTATCCCAGAGTGCTCCATTATGACCGCTCTGGACAGCACTCTCAACTCAGATGCACTGGCCAGGTAGACAGGAAAAGAACCGCGAACTTTTGAATCTCATTTCCTGTTTGGCCAGCGTGGCAAGCTGCAGGTGACCATGCAGAGCTCATCAGCACAGGTGACCATGATGGAGTCCCAGAATCGCAAAAGAGCTCCAGCATGGACCGAACGGGAGGTACGGGATCTGATCGCTGTTTGGGGATCTATCTATCAGAACTCCGTTCCAGTTTTCGAAATGCCAAAACCTTTGTCAAAGTCTCCCAGTGCATGAAGGACAGAGGCCATAACAGGGATCCGAAGCAGTGCCACATGAAACTTAAGGAGCTGAGGCAAGCCTACCAGAAAACCAGAGGGGCGAACGGCCGCTCCGGGTCAGAGCCCCAAACATGCCGCTTCTATGATGAGCTGCATGCCATTTTAAGGGGTTCAGCCACCACTACCCCAGCCGTGTTGTTTGACTCCTTCAATGGAGATGGAGGCAACACGGAAGCAGGTTTAGGGGACGAAGAAGATGAGGAGGAGGAGGTTGTAGATAGCTCACAGCAAGCAAGTGGAGAAACCGGTTTTCCAGACAGCTAGGAACTGTTTCTCACCCTGGACCTGGAGCCAGTACCCCCCCGAACCCACCCAAGGCTGCTTCCTGGACCCGGCAGGCGGAGAAGGGACCTCCGGTGAGTGTACCTTTTAAAATACTATACATGGTTTAAAAGAAAGCATGTGAAAGGATTATTTTGCCCTGGCATTCGCGGCTCTCCTGGATGTACTCCCAAAGCCTTTGCAAAAGGTTTCTGGGGAGGGCAGCCTTATTGTGTCCTTCATGGTAGGACACTTTACCACTCCAGGCCAGTAACACATACTCGGGAATCATTGTACAACAAAACATTGCAGTGTATGTTTGCTGGCATTCAAACAACATCTGTTCTTTATCTCTCTGTGTTATCCTCAGGAGAGTGAGATATCATTCATGGTCACCTGGTTGAAATAGGGTGCTTTTCTTCAGGGGACACTCAGAGGAGCCCGTTCCTGCTGGGCTGTTTGCCTGCGGCTGAACAGAAATGTTTCCCGCTGTTAGCCACGGGGAGGAGGGAGGGTTGAGGGGGTAGCCACGCGGTGGGGGGGCGGGGCAAAATGCGACCTTGTAACGAAAGCACATGTGCTATGTATGTAATGTTAACAGCAAGGTTTACCCTGAAAGAGTGTAGCCACTGTTTTATAAAATGTGTCTTTTTAAATACCGCTGTCCCGTTTTTTTTCTCCACCAGCTGCATGTGTTTCAATGATCACAGGATCTTCTCCTTCCCAGAGGCTAGTGAAGATTAGAAAGAAAAAAAAATGCACTCGTGATCAAATGTTCTCTGAGCTCATGCTGTCCTCCCACACTGACAGCACAGACGAATGAGTGGAGGCAAATAATGTCAGAGTGCAGGAAAGCACAAAATGACCGGGAGGAGAGGTGGCGGGCTGAAGACAGGGCTGAAGCTCAAATGTGGCTGCAGCGTGATGAGAGGAGGCAGGATTCAATGCTGAGGCTGCTGGAGGATCAAACCGGTATGCTCCAGTGTATGGTTGAGCTGCAGCAAAGGCAGCTGGAGCACAGACTGCCACTACAGCCCCTGTGTAACCAACCGCCCTCCTCCCCAAGTTCCATAGCCTCCACACCCAGACGCCCAAGAAAGTGGTGGGGGGGCCACCGGCCAACCAGCCACTCCACCACAGAGGATTGCCCAAAAAAAAGAAGGCTGGCATTCAATAAATTTTAAAGTTGTAAACTTTTAAAGTGCTGTGTGGCATTTTCCTTCCCTCCTCCACCACGCCTCCTGAGCTACCTTGGTAGTCATCCCTCTATTTGTGTGATGAATGAATAAAGAATGCATGAATGTGAAACAACAATGACTTTATTGCCTCTGCAAGCGGTGATCGAAGGGAGGAGGGGAGGGTGGTTAGCTTACAGGGAAGTAGAGTGAACCAAGGGGCGGGGGTTTCATCAAGGAGAAACAAACAGAACTTTCACACCGTAGCCTGGCCAGTCACGAAACTGGCTTTCAAAGCTTCTCTGATGTGTACTGCGCCCTCCTGTGCTCTTCTAACCGCCCTGGAGTCTGGCTGCGTGTAACCAGCAGCCAGGCGATTTGCCTCAACCTCCCACCCCGCCATAAATGTCTCCCCCTTACTCTCACACATATTGTGGAGCACACAGCAAGCAGTAATAACAGTGGGAATATTGGTTTCGCTGAGGTCTAAGCGAGTCAGTAAACTGCGCCAGCGCGCCTTTAAACGTCCAAATGCACATTCTACCACCATTCTGCACTTGCTCAGCCTGTAGTTGAACAGCTCCTGACTACTGTCCAGGCTGTCTGTGTACGGCTTCATGAGCCATGGCATTAAGGGGTAGGCTTGGTCCACAAGGATAACTATAGGCATTTCAACATCCCCAACAGTTATTTTCTGGTCTGGGAATAAAGTCCCTTCCTGCAGCTTTTGAAACAGACCAGAGTTCCTGAAGATGCGAGCGTCATGTACCTTTCCCGGCCATCCCACGTTGATGTTGGTGAAACGTCCCTTGTGATTCACTAGAGCTTGCAGCACTACTGAAAAGTACCCCTTGCGGTTTATGTACTCGCCGGCTTGGTGCTCCGGGGCCAAGATAGGGATATGGGTTCCGTCTATAGCTCCACCACAGTTAGGGAATCCCATTGCAGCAAAGCCATCCACTATGACCTGCACATTTCCCAGGGTCACTACCCTTGATATCAGCAGATCTTTGATTGCGTGGGCTACTTGCATCACAGCAGACCGCATGGTAGATTTGCCCACTCCAAATTGATTCCCAGCTGACCGGTAGCTGTCTGGCGTTGCAAGCTTCCACAGGGCTATCGCCACTCGCTTCTCAACTGTGAGGGCTGCTCTCATCTTGGTATTCATGCGCTTCAAGGCAGGGGAAAGCAAGTCACAAAGATCCATGAAAGTGCCCTTACGCATGCGAAAGTTTCGCAGCCACTGGGAATCGTCCCAGACCTGCAACACTATGCGGTCCCACCAGTCTGTGCTTGTTTCCCGAGCCCAGAATCGGCGTTCCACAGCATGAACCTGCCCCATTAGCACCATGACGCATGCATTGGCAGGGCCCATGCTTTCAGAGAAATCTGTGTCCATGTCCTGATCACTCACGTGACCGCGCTGACGTCGCCTATTCGCCCGGTATCGCTCTGCCAGGTTCTGGTGCTGCATATACTGCTGGATAATGCGTGTGGTGTTTAATGTGCTCCTAATTGCCAAAGTGAGCTGAGCAGCCTCCATGCTTGCCTTGGTATGGCGTCCGCTCAGAAAAAAGGCGCAGAACGATTGTCTGCCGTTGCTCTGACGGAGGGAGGGGTGACTGACGACATAGCTCACAGGGTTGGCTTCAGGGAGCTAAAATCAACAAAGGGGGTGGCTTTACATCAAGGAGTATTTCAGGCAGGACTTCCACGGAGGGTTCCAATAAGAAATGGTGCACCTAAGTTATTGTTCTTATTGGAACAAGGAGGTTAGTCTGGCCTCTGATTGATACGTGGCTAGATTTACCTTGCTGCACTTTCCCTGTGAGTGACTGCAGTGTGACCTAGAGGAATGAGTCCCCTAGACGGGGGAGCGGGGGAAGCAAATGAGTACAAAACAAATCTGGTCTATTTCTTGTTTTGATCCACTCCATCTATCTTTTACATCTTTGGCTAGCAGCAGACGGTGCAGAAGGACTGCATGCCATCCACATCTCATGGCTGCCCAGCAGAAGATAATGCAATAGGACTGCTAGCAATCCATATCTCCTGCCTGCTCACCATAAGATGGTTCAATAGGACTGACTGCAGGACTAAAGAGAATGACCTGGTCAAGTCACTCCAAATTTAGTCTCTGCGCCCATGTCTGCCCAGGCGCTCCCAGCCGACGTGGTCAGGAGTACCTCGGACATGACGATGACGGCTACCAGTCGTACTGTACCGTCTGCTGCCACAAGGCAAGGGGTTGCTGCTACTGTGTAGCAATGCCGTACCACGTCTGCCAGCACCCAGGAGACATAGGGTGACGGTTACCTGAGCGGGCTCCATGCTTGCCGTGGTATGGCGTCTGCACAGGTAACTCAGGAAAAAAGGCGCGAAACGATTGTCTGCCCTTGCTTTCATGGAGTGAGGGAGGGAACGGGGGCCTGATGATATGTACCCAGAACCACCCGCAGCAATGTTTTAGCCCCATCAGGCATTGGGATCTCAACCCAGAATTCCAATGGGCAGCGGAGACTGCGGGAACTGTGGGATAGCTACCCACAGTGCAACGCTCCAGAAGTCTACTCTAGCCTCGGTACTATGGAAGCGGTCCGCCGAGTTAATTCACTTAATGCACTTAGAGCTTTTTCTGTGGGGACACACACACTCGAATATATAAAACAGATTTCTAAAAAAATGACTTCTACATATTCAACCTAATTTCGTAGTGTAGACATACCCTATGGGTTGAGTTAAAACCTCCTTCGAATTGATGTGTGAATGAGTCCCCCATTTAATATAGTTATAAGAGACAGGGGGTAACACCTAAAACAAAGCCTAAAAAAGTCCATCCAGAAACTAATACCTGGTGGCTAAAGGGTTCAAACAAGTATTGTGAGTGGGGGTGTGGGAGGGGGAGAACACACATTAAACTGGAAAAGACTGAGGCCCTGTCTACAGTAGGAATTTACTTCAGTAAGGTGGATCTACCTACAGTGACAGGAAAACCTCTCCCATCAGCGTAGTTGGTGTCTACATTGAAGCACTACAGCAGTGCAGCGTTTCAAGAGTAGACATACCCTGAGAGGCACAGAGCCTAAAAGACCAGCTGAAACATGGTGGCTGACTCTGGAAGAAACCTGGGAGGAGGTTTGTGGGTCAGGGGTGCAAACTGAAAATAATGTTCTTGGTGCTGTAAGCAAAAGAAGCCATTTCCTGCTCTTTGAATCCTTCTGCACTGAAAGACACATGACTTTCTATGTTCTTGGTAAATAAACAAAACTACATCAAAGAAATACCTGACTGTCACCTATTTCTACTCCCAACACCCACAGGGCCCCAAACTTTGACTAGTCACTCAGGTTGAAAAGCGGCAACAATACAGTCTTTAAATTATACAGTCACATTTTCCCCCTCCACAGAACCCCTCCCTCCTTCAGTGCACAGGATGGACCTGCTCTGGGAATCAATCAGGGCTGTGTAGGGAATGATGGGTAGGATTCTTGTGTCACTTGTTGCAGAAGTTGCAAGGTGTGAGTGAATGAGGCAAGGAACTGCAGGAAGAGAAAGGGTGATCTTTTGGTGAAGGCAGGTGAATGCCACCCAGATGTAGTACCTGGGGCACTTAAGACACCTAAGGCCTAATTTGCAGAAGTGCTGAGTGCTCACAATGCAACTGAAGTCAATGAGAGCTGTGCATGCTCAGCACTTTGAGCAGGAGTACAGCATGATCTGAAGGTATGAGCACAGGGCTGGGAATCAGGCAATAAGCAATTCTAATCCTGCGTCTGGCTCTGAGCAAGTCACTTTGCTTTTCTCTCTGTGTCTCCATTTACAAAATGGGGATAACAATACCAAAAGGTATTAATAGAGTTAACATCTCTACAGTGCTTTGAACATATAAAGTGCTGTATAAGGGAAATCTTAATTCTGGCATTTCCTAACTTATGAGAACTAGACTTTGCAACCTTAATAATATTAACAGAGGATGGGAGGTGTGTGCACATGCATGCAAACACACACGATGTAATGTTATATATACCAAATTAATGGGTCAGAGCTCAGGTTGTGTGTTGCAGAATGATTGTCCGTTCTTTGATGTATGCACTGAGGGCAACATTGTTAAAATGAAAGAGAATTGTTGCCCTTGAAAATAACACATCAAATGTATATATACATAAAGTGTATGTGCTTATATTTACCAGTAGAAAATGGTATGGGACAAAGAAGAGGGTATAGCTGGGAAGGGGGTCAGGGAAGGACAGCAGTGGGGAGAGCATAATAGGCTCGTGGAAGCACTGGTTGGAGAGCAGTTGGCAAGGGGATTTCCCAAGTTCTGCAGAATGGCCAGGTGAGGAGCTCTTCTCCTGCAGATCTTCAGAAGTCCAAAGCACAGGAACTCTCTTCTCCCTCTTATAGACTTCTCAAGGTCCAGGAAACAAGCTCAGAGCATAAGTCTTTGTTTGCAGCTCAGCTATCAAAGTGCTGAATTGCCCAACTAGCTGAGCTATGGATGAAGAATGTGTTTGCTGTTGGCTTTTCACAGATCACTTAACCTGCAGTAATACACTATCACCCACTGTCAATTGAAAATAATTGATACAAAACCAAAATCAATAATCGACCACAATATTCATTATAAGATACAAGTCGACAAAGAAATGTTACAGGATCACCATTGCAGTGTAAACAGAAACAGTTACAACTATTCATAAATCCAAAAGTAATATGTTGTTAAACTTTGTAGCTTATGTAGGCCGACTACATTGCACACTCCAGGGGTTCTCTGCATCCCTCCATTCCCCACCCCCAGCTCCATGTGTGCCTCCCTCCCATACCCCTCTATTTCAAGGACTCCCTGCAACTTTCCAACCAGCCAAGGGCTCTGAGAGTCTTCACCTGTTCCTCTCAGGGTCCTGCATACTCCCCTTGATGCCAGGGGCTCTGGATGCACCACCTTTTCACTTCCCCATGTGTCCTCCATACTAGATACCACCAATCTCTCCCCACACCAAGGGTATTGTGGGCTCCCCACATCTTCCTTCCCCTATATCAGGTACACCTGTGGGCATTCTGTGCCAAAAAATTATGTGCACAATATTTTAAAATTCTGCAAGTTTTATTTGTTAATAAATAAATGCAGAGGCCACTAGCTGCATAAAAGTGGGAGATCACCCTACAGCCTCCCCACCACCCACCCCGGGGACACGGACTCAGTGGGGAGGCTGCACCCGACCCTGACACAGCATAAGGCCTGGGCCTGCCCCAGAAACATCCTGGGGCCCTGGCCCTCAGCACGAGGTGCACTAGGTGTGAGGCTGGCAGGCTCAAGCCGGCAGGATCCAAGTGTGGCAGGGCTCAGTGGGTGGGAGATCCAGGTGGGGAACGAGAGGATTCTGTGTGGGACAATCTGGGTGCAGGCAGCTCAGTGGGGGGTCTAGGTGGGGGCAGGATCTGGATGCACAGAGGCTCGTTGTGGGGTTCTAAGTGCAGGGGCAATGGGACTCTGCAGGGGCAGGGCTTCCAGGCAAAAGTGGTTGGGGCTCAGCAGAGCGATCTGGGTGTGAGGGTCTCAGCAGGGGTGAGGGATAGCTCAGTGGTTTGAGCATTGGCCTGCTAAACCCAGGGTTGTGAGTTCAATCCTTGAGGGGGCCATTTAGGGATTGGGGGCAAAAATTGGGGAGTGGTCCTGCTTTGAGCAGGGGGTTGGACTAGATGACCTCCTGAGGTCCCTTCCAACCCTGATATTCTATGATTCTATGATGGGGGCCCCAGTGCTGGGGGAGTGGGGCTTGGCTGGGTGGGGTGGGGGTCTGGGTGCAGCTAATTGGGGGTCAGTGGCTTGGGGGTCTGGATATGGGGTCTCAGCATGGTGCAGGGGTGTGGTGCTCATCAGGCTGGGGGTTTGAGTGCAGCGAGCTTAGTGTGGGGCAGTGGTCTGAGCGCAGTGGGGCTCCAGATGCAGGTGTTGAGGTTCAGTGGGGTGGGTATGGAGGGTTAGGGGAGTTCTGGGCATATGGGGTGAGGCTTGGCAGGGGTGTCTGGGTATGGAAGGTTTGGATGCACGGGGGTTGGGCGGATGGGGGAGCAGCTCCCTGTACAGTGACCCCTTTTCCTGTAGGTGAGGAGTAATAGAAGCAGTAAACAGGGGAGGATGCTGATCTTCTTGCAGCTGGGGGAGGTTTCTTGGGGTGGGTCTGACACAGCCCCAGTCACTCCTTGCACGGGGAGAGGAAGTCCCATCCTCTCCTGCCTCCAGCACAGCCAGGACTAGCAGCTGATCCTGGCTCAGGGTAGGAGCCACTGGCTGGGGTGTCCCCAGCCCTGAGGTGATTTCTCTCTCCACAGGCTGTTCTGGGTGCCTGAAACGATGTACCTACACAGCTAGGGAGTGGTGCATGACTGCTCTTACAGCTTATCTTGGCTTCCCTGTCAGAAAATCATTTTTCTGTGGGGAAGCAAAGAAATCTGCAGGGAACATGAATTCTGTGCACACGCAGTGGTGCAGAATTCCCCCAGGAGTAATCAGGGTTCTCTGTTCTCCCCTATGGCAGGGGCTCAATGGGTGCCCCCATTTCTCTCTTTCCCCCAATCTCCCCCCATCAGGCGTTCTGAGTGCCCCCATTCCCCTATCACAGGGTTCCCCACTTCTCCCCATTGCCAGGAGTGTTA